AAAGAAGAGTATTCTCTAAAGGTTTATTTTTCTACTTCTATATAATATCAGAATAAAAAGATTCTTATTCCCATTATGGGGCAATTGAAATTAAAAATGTAGTGCCGAAATTTTCAATTTAGAATATAACTTTTTTTTAAATAAAATTGTAAAAGCAAGTGAATTTAAATTTATTTTTTTCGCCATTGACATGAAAAAGTGTCTTTTTTGTGCCTGTTTTGGGCAGATAAAGTAGCACTTTTTAAGGCAGTTTGGGCCAACTGCCTAAAAAAGACTTTTTTAGGCAGAAAACTGCCCTATAAAGTCTTTTTTAGGCAGTTGTTAATTTTTGCATAATTTTTGTAATAATATATAATATATATAATATATATATCTTTAAAATTGTTTCACTTTTTCATAACAATGGCGAAAAAAATAGCGTATGTGGCTCGCACGTAGTAATTTTTAGGTTCGGATGATTTCAATACTCGGTGTCTGTGCGACTTCGGTTCGACTTGGCTCGCCTTCGTTTCACTAACGACAGCTCGTACTGAAAATTACATCCTCACCTAAAAAGTACTACTTTACGTGCTTGCCACATAATATACTATTCATTTAAATTTTATTTTAAAAGTATAAATGTATAAAGTTGAAACTTAAACAAATTTCTTTTTATCAATTTTACAAAAGAAATACATGCAAAGTTTTCAAGTACATAATTAACTTAACCACATTTATGAAATGTTTACAACTACGCTCTTTATAGTATAAAATATTCAAATTTTTTTTACGAAATCATAGGGGAATTTCATTTATTTATTTATCTATATAAAGGGGCAATAAAAACGCATTGTTTTTGTTAAATAAAATAAAGAAATTTAACTTCGAAAACTCTTTTTTACCGTTTTTTTAATATTTTAATATTTTTCTTTTTAGAAAAAGAGTGTATGCACTGAAAAAAAATTTATTTGATTCAAATAATCGGTTACTTGTCTATTATCAAGTAAATATTTACTTGAATTAAATAAATTGTATTTGTACCAATAATTTTAATAATATGTAGTCAACTAATCGATTATTTTGAAAAAAATAAATTTTTTTTCATTGTGGTATATCTTTAAAACAAGATTTTATTTCTTCCGTAAAATAAGGAGACGAAAGAATAGATTTTCAAAATCATTAGTTAAAATTTTCATTTTATAGAATTTCATTTCATATATAATTTTTCTTTAACCGAATTTTATTTTGTTCGAATAATTATATATTTTGCAGAATTTTCATTAATCCGATATTACAGAATTTTTTCAAGTTTGAGTTTAAATTAAAACCCAATACTATTGAGATTAACTTAATTTTAGGCCTGTATTATTAAAATAAAATTTCCCTAATAAGAAATCCATAATTTAAATTGAATTAAATGACAAAAAAAAAATTGATATGTAATTCGCAAGGTTTTTTTTGGCACTCAGCCGTATATCGAATTCTCGAAATCCACGTTTCAAACAACTGTTGCTTCCTAGAATTTGGCACAGACTCTCCTCTTAAATTACCTTAAAGTGCTAAGAGATCTTTATCGACATTCAAAGAGATAGCTATAAAAGAATTATGGTAAAATAAAGTTCTAGTTTTTTGTCAAAACAAAATTCAACAAAAGACTCTTTTAAATAAAGTATATATATATAAATTACACAATAAAAGTTTCTTCATTCTTTCAACTGAATTTTAATTTTTAAATTTACATAAACCATAATATAATATTCAAAGTTAATTTATTTCAATTCAACTTTTATTATTGTTAATATTAACATAATTTAACTTAATAATTCAAAAATCTACACTCCCCTACAATGGAAAAACATACGTTAGTGACACGTATTTACATACCACATAACGTATGTTTCTCCGTTGTAGGGCAGTACACCAAACTTTTTCTCTTTAATTTTTAAAAGCAAAATTGTAATTACTATTTACAATAAATACAAATTTATAATAATTGATTTGATAATAATTTAATAACTTTAGAATTTTGTAACTTATAATTGGAACGCAATTAATAAAATATAATATAGGTAACATTTTTTCGTTCAATGTTTCGTACGCGATGAAGTAAAAAATCGTAATATTGATTAAATGGCAAACATGTAATATAGGATTTTGTAGAATTAATTAACAAGTGAAAAGGCTTTATTTAAAGGAAATAAAAATGGTAAAAGCTCCAATACTAAGATTGGCTCCATAAATTGCATTCGCAGAGACGCAGCAATAAATTATTTTTTCCCTTCGATAAGACCCATAAATTTATTTATTGTTTTTTTTTCAAGCTTAGCAAAATAAAAGTTTCATCTATTAGTTTAATATTTAAATAGATTTATACACGGCAAATGGGAAAAGAAAGGAAAAAACCCCACTTTCGCATGATTGATAAATGGGAATTATTTAACGTTTAAAATTTTTCTATCATTCTTTATTTGTTTATCCTTCAAATTTATTTATTTATCATTCAAATATTTCAATGCTTATATGTATTTAAATTTAGCTATTTATGCAAAATTCTAAATATATGAATATTGACAAAATAATTAAAAAATAATTAATTTCTCACTTAAAAATTCAGTTAAATAAAATTTCTATATACTAAATGACAATTCTATTAAAATAAAAATTAGGTAGAATAGAAATTTTATTGAATAAAAGTTTTGTAAAAATACTAATTTTGTAGAAATTCAGTTAATGAACATACGTAAATATTCATAGAAATTCGATATAAAAGAACAATTATGTTAGATAACAATTATTTTTTTATGAAAATTTTGCAAGACAAAAATTCTGTTAAATGGAAATTGTATTATTTGAAAATTCAGTGTTTTAGAAAATCTGCTTTATAAAAAGTTCAGATAAATAGAAATTCTATTAATTCAGAATTTAGTTAAGAAATTCTTTGATATAAAACTTTGGCTCATTATAAAATCAACTTTATAAAATTCTGCTAAATAAAAATTCGATAATTTTTAATATTCAATACCACAAGAATTCCGATAGGTCTAATTGCGTCTTAAATTTATTTATTTCAAGGTGAAAAAAAATGTTTTTTTCGAGTATTATAAATTATTTTCTCTTCTAAAAAAAATAATGATAAAAAGAAAAATAGCAAAGGTGAAGTTTTACTATATATATAAAATATACTGTGTGACATTCATTAGATTTTGCCTATTTGAGAAGAAGCGTCTCTGAGAGTTAGGAAGACAGTGACAATAGGCTTTAATGGGGGGCGTGCTAGAAACGGTATTTTATGGTAGATATACACATAAAAAAAGTATAATACATATATAAAACCCTTTTCCACCAACTCTATATATATATGTATATATATACACACACAAAAAGGATAGAAGCTATTCGTTGTGACTTCCAACATTGCTCGTGGCTACACGACCGAATTACGGAGGCCCAGAATTTCTAGGCCGATAACACACGGAGCTTCTTGACTTGGGGCTCAAGAGATAGCATCGAATCTAGATTTGAATCACGTAGCCCTGTTTTATCCTGGAGTTAGTGGAAGACAAGCTGCCTACCACGCATGATTCTCCCTTTTCTACCCTTTCTCACCTTTATATCCAGACTCGGATTCACTCAAGAAACATCCTTAAATCCGCATTTTAAAAATGGAAAATTCATGAAAAATATAGTAACAAAAAAAAAAAATCTTTTTTCCCCTCAATATACACTAACAGAAATCCATTATCTTCTTTTAAAATAAAAAAAATAAATAAATAAAAAATATCCTATTACAATGAAACTAATAAATTTATTTTTAAAAAATTGTTTTCATTTCTTTTTAATATTAAAAGAAAAATGAAATTTTTAGTACACTTAATTGAAATAAAAAAATCTATTATAAAGAATTTATAAAAAAAAACTGTTATTAATCCTTTCCATGTCAGCGACCCAACGTTGGGACCACATCATGGATTTTTTCTCAAACACGAAAAGGGTTAAAAGAAAAACGAAATATTTAGTATATACTTTTAGGGCTTTTAGGTAGAAGCTGTTTTGAAAATAAAAAATAATTTTTTTTTAAATAATTGGACGGACAATTAAAACAAAAGTTAGTCCAATTTCGTATTTTTAATAAAAAAAAAAAATTTAATTAAAACATTTTTTTTTAGTAAAAGTGTGAGGAATTTGATTTTTAACACTTTGAATCATTAAAAGTTGCATTTGGATGAAGATTAAAAATTTCTCACAATAAACGATTTTAGATTATGTTACCTAAATTTTTTCCTCCTATTTGTATTTTTTATATTTAAATTCAAGTTTTAATAATTAAAAATGTTTAAAAAATTAAAATGTTTACACATGCACTGAAACACTTCTAAAATTTAAATTGTTTTTTTTTCTATTTTAAGATACGAAAATATTCGAGTTGGAATAATTTTTATTTCGATTGCTTGATTCTTCCTTATCTGTGAATTTTAAAATTACTTGACAAAAATTATGTAAACGATATTATTATTATTTAAATTGAAATTTTTAAAAAAATTTTATTCAATTAAAATTATTAAACAATTAAATAAAACTTTTATATCTCTCCATAAGTTAAAATTAATTGATTTGGAGATGGATATTTTTATATATATATAAAAAAATGCTTTCGGCCCTGATATAAGAAACTGGGATTTGGTGAGTTAACATTTTCAACGAAATTATCGGATATAAGCAGAGAAAATGTAAGATAAAAAAATATTCGAGTGTGAAACTGTCAACAACTTTCCTTAGATTTTTTTTTATCGAAAGGTTAAGGGTGAGTTACTTTATATTATATCCCAAACGTTTAAAGTAACACCTTTCGTGTATATATAATAAAAGTTTTATATTTTTTTTCATATGTGAAATGTCTTATTGGATTTTTAAAATAGTACACTATTTTTATAAAAAAAAAATAAATAATCGAAAAAAAATATATTATATATGAAATTTCCAGTTCGCCATAGGTGTAGAGGAGAAAAAATTGCGGCACTCACCATTTTCCACGTAATAACTCGTCTCGTTGTAACGTTCATCTGTGAAGCCTGGCCTTTTCGCCTTAAGCGCTTTGGTTTCCAATTTCGCCTGAAATCAAAAGTGCTGATGAATAGATGAATGGAATGATTGTTTTTCAATTATTGTTTTTATTTTCTTATGGCTTAAAAACAAACGATTCTCAATAGAAAAATTGAGTGCTTCGAATTTACATTGGAATGCATTTGAAATATATTGTATTTGAGTAAATTAAATAAAACCGGAAACTGTAAATATATAAGTTAATAAATAAATAAATAATGAAATAAATTAGGTAAACATTTTTTATATTGAATTATATAATTGTAATTTAAACTTTTTCTATATGAAATTATTTTAATTTAAAAATTATGTGTCGAGATAATTTTCCATTTTCCATTATAATAACAATTGAGAAAATAAAATTATGTTAAACTCTCAACACCTTTGACCTCTTCGGACGAGAAGACGAAATATAATTGTAAAATCAAACGAACTTACCTAAGTGAAGTTCGATTTCAATTATATGAGTTTTCTCGTCCGTAGAGGTCAAATCGCTCCCTATATGTATATCCTAACCCTTAAAGAAAGCTCTCAGTTGCGAGTTTTTTCAAAGCTCTAAAATAATGAGAAACCAGGAAACCGGAAGCCAGCAGTATGTACTACCGCGCCACCTAAGTACGAAAAATCAAACAAAAAACCGAGAAACTTTAAAAATCTGTGTAATGGACAGAGCAACTAACGTTATCACACCTTTGACCTAGAGGACGAGAAGACGAAATATAATTGAAATCGAACTTCACTTCGGTAAGTTCGTTTGATTTATTACAATTTTTGTTTAATGTCTAGAATAAAATTTAAATTGATTAACTTCATTATTGATATTCAAAATTGAATCTGTATTAGATTAAAATTTGTATTATTTTCAGTTTTTTTTTTAAATTTTTAATGAGAAAAAATCCCATTAAAATTTCACCAGGAATATAAGTATAATTTTTATATACGAATCAAACTCAAAAGGATTTTTAACTTTTTATTTTACTCTATAGAAGATATTTGAAAATGAAAAAGTTAATTTATCACTGTAGGATTAAAACCACGATTTTAATATTCAGGCGAATAATTTTCTAATAATTTATGTTATGATTTTTTAAAAATAATCCTCTAGATGATTTTCACTGGAATGATCAAATAAAATAATTTTAATAACTTTGTTTATAAAAATGAAATGAATTTAAATTTAAATTAAAAATTTTTTTGAAATTAAACAGACTTCTCTTTGATTCATATATAATTATAGAAAACTCAAGTAATTGATGCAAACATAACTTTTGTACATCGAGGAGATAATTCTTTTTAAACAAATGTAGTGAATGAAAAGAAGTTTTTAAAAAATATATTTCTCTCCAGAGTCTAATAACTTTTCATTGGTTTTAAATAAAAAAAATGTATTTAACATGAATAAAATTCTATTTAGCGCAAATAAAATTTTTATTTAACTTAAATAAAATTTATTTTAAAAAGAAGATAAAATATTTATTTCGCTCTGCGACAAATATATTTTTTCTCTCTGTGTGTATAGATGTCATACAAACTTTAATAATCTTTTTGTCGAATCTTGAAAAATCTCTCTCTAGATTTATTATTATTTTTATTATTTATCTAGATTCTCCAAAAAAAAAACAATTTCATTCAGTTGACTGACAATAATTGTATTACGTATTGTACTTAAATAAAAATTAATAAGTCGTAAGAAACTCTTGGAGTTAGTTTATAATTTTGTTTCACTCAACTGTGAATAAAATTGAATAGCGCGGTTCAAGAAAAGTTTTGACGTCTCCTTAATTGTACCATTTAATGGAACATCCTTTTATTTTAAGAAAGAAAGAGAGATTAAGTGGGATGCAGACATTTTTTTCCGCACTTAGAGAAAAAGAAAATTTGATCAAAGTAAAAGGGTGTAAAAAAGGGTATAATAGAGAAACTTTATTTGAAATCTTTTTCTTTTAGCGTTGGTGGTGCGACAGCCGTTGTATGTGTTGCACTTATACTGGACGCTTTGTCACAGCAACATAATTGGAATCACTGGACCGTTGGCGTTGGTCGTTTCGACTAATTATCATCGTGTTAATTAAAACGTACTGGTCGGTACGAGCATTTGGATCCATTATCATATAATACACCTGGTCCTGGGTCATATTCCCGCAACCCTCTCTAAAATCTTCTCGGCGTTGAATGATGACAATTAAAATACATTACAAAAAAAAAAAAAATAGGAAATTTCCCATAAGGATTATTTTAGCTCGTTTCCAACACATTTTCATGATATTTTATAATAAAAAAAAATCTTCTAATAAATATTCATTAAATTTCTTTAAATTTTTTTTAATAAATATATTAATCAAAATTTTTAACTAAAAACTAATTTTGATGAATTTTACATTTTAAAATACAATTTTAATAAATATGACTCATTTGACGGTTGAATTTTGGTTTTAATTTTATGTGGAAAATATATATATCAATAATTACACGCGTATTTCCCTCTGTTCTTGGCAATTACAACATTGTTGTTACATCAATGAGAAATAATTTCTCGATATATAATCCGCATATAAAAGTCTCCCTTTGTATATAATATATATATATATCGCAACAAATTAATGATTCAGTGATAATTACATTCACCATTAACCAATGGACGATTTTCTCTGAACTCAATTATATAAATCAAAGTAACATTTATAGTTGAATATATAATGTGATTTTAGGATTTGTAAAATATAATCAACGCAGAATATACAGAAATTTATGTGTTGAATACCTTTTATAATTGCTGACGGAATTTCGAAAAAAAATTTATTAAACTAAAAAAATCGGACAAGTGCGAGTTACACTCGCACTGAAATTGAGGGTTCCGTACTCGAAGCGAACTTATTTGGTATAAAAACAAATGTTTAAAAAATATGTGTTGTGTATTAAATAATATATGTGATACAAAAATGAACAATTTAAAAAAAAAAATTTAAGAAAATTGTTCCTCCTTTGGTATAAAAACAAAAAAAAAATTTTAAATTTGTTTTGTATTTCAAATAATATAAGTGATACGAAGAGGAACAATTTTCTTAAATTTTACAAAATTGTTCCTTTTTGTATCACTTATATTATTTGAAATACAAAACAAATTTAAAATTTTTTTTTGTTTTTATACCAAAGGGGAACAATTTTCTTAAATTTTTTTTTAAAAATTGTTCATTTTTGTATCACATATATTATTTAATACACAACACATATTTTTTAAACATTTGTTTTTATACCAAATAAGTTCGCTTCGAGTACGGAACCCTCGATTTCAGTGCGAGTGTAACTCGCACTTGTCCGATTTTTTTAGTTTTTTGCGGAAAAATACATTTTTTTATTAAATTTATCATTTTTCTTCAAAAATTTAATAAAAATTGATCATCAACTCCAATCGCGCTTATATTTTTTCCCTGTATTTTTCACGCAAAAATACAGTTTTACAGCAAATGTGAACAATTTGGGTAGAATATTGTGTGCGCTAGGGAGAATAAATCATTTTTTTTCGAAATTTTTGATTTTTCCTTGACAACGCTATGTAAATTGATCGGAATCAAGTTCGCTATATTTTTCCTGTAATTTTCACGTAAAAATACGTAAGTGTACCAAATTTGAGCTCTTTATGTCAAAAGATGTGGCCGCTAGGGGGGGGGTACATAGTCATTTAGTCACCCTAAAAAGAATCAAGTGTTCGAAATAAATCATTAAAATTTTTCTTTCCATTTTATTAATGATAAGTAATTAAATAAATATAAATTAATTATAAAATATAAAGAACAGTTTCTTAAAAAAAGAAAGAAAAAAAGCATCTTAAAAGTTTATAACAGATCAGGAAAATCAATTTAAAAAAATAAAAAAAGAAAAAAAAATTTTTTTTTTACATTCAAAAAAAATTTTTGTTGGAAATAACCAAAAATTTAATTGGATTAAATAAATATTTATTGGAATCAAAAAAAAAAAAAATTTTTTTAATGAAAGTATATTATTTCACGAAAGAAAAATAAAAGATTTCTCCTCAAACTTGAAAATTACTTTTTAATAATCTTTTCCAATAAAAATATTTTAACGACGAAATAAAATAATTTTCTCTCCTTATTTCTTAAAGTGTTGAATATAATCGAAATCCTGGTAAAATTCTCCGCGCGCGCACACACATACACAGATATCAGCGAAAGTAGAAATATACGGAGTTTATTCCGACAAGTGCATTAATCTTAGTTCCAGAACGATGAACTAAATTGTAAAAGGAAAGAGCAAACGCGGACATAATCGTTTATCAATGAATAAGAGGCGTTGGAGTGCGAGAGAAAAGAGCTCCATTGTCAAGAGCATAATTAGTCGTTATTCCTTCTGGGACTTTCTATTGTTGTATTGCATCTGACATTCTCGACAGAGAAGAAATAAATTAACAAACAATCTATTCGATTGCTTTTTTCTTTTTTTTCTTTGCACACTCGTATTTCGGTGGTTGACAAAAAAAAAAAAAAAAGTTGCCCTGTAATTTTTTTTTTAAACGTCGACCTCGACTATCGACCAAACGATGAAAAGCGTCTATATATGTGCCATTCCAGGAGTTTTTTAGCACTTTTCGGAGTAACCTTTCCAAATTAAATGAAACATTTTTTTAATAATATTTATTAATATAAAGGTCCAAAAAAATCACTTTTTAAGTAAAAGCAATTGTTTATTTAAAAAATACAACAATAAATAATGCAAAAAATTCACTTTTTTCCTGCAACTCCAAATAAATTGGTTTAAAGATCAAAATTTTCCTTATTTTTCAAGCTTTAATACCGCACAAGAAACATAGAGTCCGAGAAAATATTCAACTCACAATTTTTTAAACAATGTTTGTTTACTTTTTTGTATTTTATTTACTGTGAAACGTCTGCTAAAGCTGCGCGCGACGTTTGGAAGTTGTCGCTTTCCTTATTGAGCAGAAGCTCATTACACTAGCGTAGTAAAAAACATGTTGTGTGAAAAGTGAGGTTTTT